GATCCCAGAATGATAGTTTTAAATGGCTTCCTTTAGCAAAAGCCAGCAAGGCTGAACTGATGTAGTGCCGCTTTCACCCGTGGAGCAATCCATCGCACTTTAATCAGACCAATATAGACAGTGGGGAAAGAGGCGCAGATTGATTTTGAAAACTATCGAGCTGGATCACTTGTGCAAGAACATGTATAAGTAAAAAAAAAGAAAAAAATCCAATTTTTATGTTTCTTTTCTAAACTTTGGTAGGCCCCCCAACTTATTTCAAGATAAACTTTCTATTAACAATCCTATTTGGCYGCTGCGTAAATGCATTAACAACGTAAATAAAAAAACAACGTRTAAATGGTAAATACTTTGATCTGATAAATGAAGCCAACTAAACTACATCTCAGAGCAGGGAATGCTTTAGCTCTTAGAAGTGCGTCCATAAAAAGTTAATAAACAATATCTTACCTGCTGTAGATAGTGCTTTCAGTTTAATTCTGACCAAATTGATGAGCTAAAGGCTAGTTCGACCAGGACAGAGACCAAAAATAGATTAATGCAGCCTTAAAACAAGTCCTATCTATAAAAATAGAACAATGATTAAACTTAAAGATATATATTTGCATGGGTATTCACTTTGAAAAACATGGTTATTTAAATGTGGCAGCAGCAGCTAGCTGTAGCACTTCCATTATAGCCTTGGCAATGAATATCATATCATTGCTTCCAGAATAATGTTGTACTATAAAATTGACAACAGTGTAAAGATTGGAGTTGATTTAGGACAGTGATAATCCACTTTGGTCTTAGCGCTGTTCAGATTAGCTGTTAGCTCATTAATTTAGTCAAAAATAAATTGAACTTCTCCAAAGCCGAGGTCATTCAACAAGTTGCCCATTTAAAATATCTAATTATTTAGCTGAAAAATTACATCCTAACACAAAATATATTTTGGTCTTAGATGCTAATTTTCATCTGTTAGCTAAAACAGTATTTATCTAACACAGTCTCTTGATTTAATGATTTTAAGTTTGAGGCTGTGCAAAATTCATTACTTTARTTGAAGACGTTTTATTTATCTGAATGATTTATTGGTCAGAGCCAAGTGGTTTAACAAACTAGATGTTTCCATGAAAGTTGTCAAGTACCGAAYGGGAAATAAGTAAAATGAACAGCCAAGATAAGATGATCAATAATTTAAAACTCAGGGGGTGATAGGCATTATTTCAAGGAATGCTAGGCCTTTTTCTTTCTTTGGCTCTAATATTTTACATTAAATATGTGACCCATCATATCGAAATGAGGATTAAGTCAAATTTGGTCAAAATGACCTRATTACATTTTCAGATTCTTGGCTTTAAAAGCTACATTTTGATACCTGGATCTTTCTGATATCTTAAGTAAATCCATATACTGTATATGACTTAATTTGTCTTGTTGGTTACAATAATACATAAATATTTTGGTCTGAATCCTAATTTTATGTCATTTTAATAAGGATTTTTTGATGTCCTTATAAAGAGGAAACCTCAAATTATATTTGAATATTGAGATTTCCCAGACAAAACTTTGCTAGCTCACAGGGAAAATCTCAAAATTTTAAGGCGTTTTTCCTCAAAATCAGGTTTTTTGTTGCTACTGTTCAAAAAAGTGCTTCAAAAAAATTTTATGATTATATTTCAGACAGTTCGTTCAAATGAAACATTGATAAGGCATTTATTCATTATATTTTGACAAAATGGAATTTTTGTTAACATTTTAGTCAAACACTATATTTGCCTTTTTCTCCATACACCACTTTTGGACTTAATCCTCGTTTCGATGTGTTGGCTCACATATATACATGTTTACAGTAGCTTTCTAAACATAGTGTACAGGCTTTAATTTAGCCTTTTAAAAAAAATACAGCCACAATCCATTTTCTCAAACTCGTTTAAATGCATCCTAATGTTTGGACAGGCGTCCACAGTCAGAGGCTATTCCCTCACAACAGAGTATATCAGAACATTTTTTAAGGTGCCAATAAAAACACTCATGTCAAAACCAAGCAAGGGAACATAACAAATCTATTTTTTGTCTAAAAACCTTCTCACTAAATCAAGTTTGTAACCTTATAGATGTTTAGCCGAGCCGTTATCTTCCACCTCCAAGGCTCATCCATCAAATCAAGACAAGGCAGGTGCATTGTGGAGCTGACTGATGAAAACTGAAAACTGCTTGTTTCTGTCTGAAGCAGCATGCTGGCCTCACACGCTCGCCCAATCCGTCACTCTCGTTATTGTGGGAAACATCCGTCTGAAGTGGAGCTCTCTTGTGGTGCCACTCCCTTATCCGCAGTCATCTGGGAAGACTAGACGTAAAATCAGCTGACAGTTCGGATCAGAGTTCAGCTCAGACGCACTCACACACACAGTGGTTTCCACACAGACGAGCACACTGCGGCCCACTGGCAGCCAGCAGAGGGTGCAGACGCCGAGGCAGCCCCTCATTAACTGGAGGTCGTTGCTCGGATCAGCAGAGTTAAAGTAACTAAGTACAAATACTTCTTTACTGTACTTAAGTAGAATTTTTGGGTATCTGTACTTTACTCGAGTAATTATTTTTCAGCCTACTTTTCACTTCTACTTCTTACATTTTCACACAATTATCTGTACTTTCTACTCACTACATTTTTTTTAAAAAGACAAGAAGTAGAAAGTCGTTGCTTTCATTTCATTTTGCTTGTTTTCATTCCAGCTTGTTATTATAAAAAATAAATACTAACTGTATAAACTGTGCCTCCTATGTAGAGTGAATTTAATTGTGGTTGAATGAGAAGTATAAATACATAATATTCTGATAGCGTATTAGTTTGTACA